AATCGCAGGGGGGAATCGGAGATGGAAGGGAGAGGCTGCGGCGGATGCAGCCGGCGAGCAGGGTGTGTGGCTGCGACTGGCGAGGAAGAAACAGAGCAGGCGACTGGCGAGGAAGAATCGTAGAAGTTTAGAAGAAGTAACGGGAGGAATGGGAGGAAACCCGGATATAAGAGGGGAATTGGAAAGAGCCACAAACGGCTAGGAGAAAGGAATTTTTTTGAGCAATGCTACACACTACGGCTGTGCATTATTCGGTCCAGGCCAAAACCAGACCGGACTGGTCCTTATTCGGTCCGGTCTCCGGTTTTTAATATTTTCTTATTTGGGTTTCGGTCCGGTCCACTGGGTTTCGGTCCGGACTGGTGGACCAGTTATATTTTTTTTTTAAATATTTTTTTTATATAGTTTTATAATATTATATTTTTTAAAGATATTTTCTTATACTTAAAAATTAATTTAACTATAATACTAAAAGTTTTTAAATATTTTGATTTTATTATTTAATATAATTTTTTAAATTTGTTTTCAATTCAAAATAAGATACTAAGGGCCTATTCTTTAGGACTGGAAAAAAAGAGCTGGAAACTGGAAGAAACTGGAAGAAACTGGAAGAAACAGGAAGGAACTGGAAGAAACAGGAAAAAACAGGAAGGAACTGGAAGGAACTGGAAGAAACTGGAGGAAACTGGAAGAAACTGGAAGAAACTGGAAGAACTGGAAGAAACTGGGAGAAACTGGAAGAAACTGGAAGGAACTAGAAAAAACTGGAAGAACTGGAAAGAACTGGAAGTTAAGAGTTCAAGTCCTAAAGACTAGGCCCTAATTCTAATGATATTTAAATATTTTTAATATGAAAAGTTTGAAAAAGTAATGTAACCTTTATATCAACGAGCTAATGCATTTAAAATTTATGTACTAATACTATAACTTAAATTTATACTTTATCAATAATGAAACTCTAATCAGCAAAAATAAACATTATAAACAATGTCATTATAAAACATTATTAATTATTTATTTTTAAGTTTTTTGCTCATTTATGTAGTGGAGGAGGGGGTGGGGGACAAATGGGGTACACCATTTGGTGTACCCCTAGCATTTTTTTTTTAAAAAAACAAACCACTCTAGAAACGAGGGAAATCTCATTCCGTTACTCCGAACCAAAAGCCTCCTTAAACTATTTGGATAAATTCTAATAATGGTACTTGAACTTTCACTTAAATTTTGAAGTGGTACCTAAACTTCAAATACTTTCACAAAAATCCCTGTACTTATATAATTCTTTCACTAAAAGTTCATTTACATGTTTCCAAGTTAAGTTCGAGTCATTTGAGCTAAATTGGAATTTATACATTTTAAAATTTTCAATTTAACCCCATTTTTTTCTTCTTCTCCCCCTTCCCACTCCCTTCTTTTTCTTCTTCTTCACCCCTTTCTTCTTCTTTCTTTTTCTTCACCACCGCCACAACAGCGGTGGCAGAGGCTGTTGCGGCTGCTGCGGATGCGCCGGCGTCTGTTTCTGGTTACTCTTTAACCCTGCCGAAGCTGTTTTCGGCTTCGGCGCCGAGTACGAAGCCGGTGCGGATTGGGCTGGCTAAAACCCGAATCTAGGAGAGTTCATCAGTCCTCCCGGAGCACAATGCTCCTCGAAATTCGACACCTAGGGAGTCGTCTCTGCCGGCCCAAAGTTCGACAGCCTCCCCGAGAAACCCATCATGGAGTTGAAATCAGAGTGGTTGAAATTCGACAATCTCGGCTATGGTTCCTTGACGAGCTCAGGCTGTAAATCTCAGCACCAATGAGGTTCGACGGCCACGTCATCATCACGAAGGACCGCCTCCCCAAAGTTCGACAGCCTCCCCGGCTATTGTTATTTTTCAAATACAAAAAATTACTTTTACAAAAAATAATTATAATATAAAACTAGCGTAAATATAAAAATTAAATTTTAAAAACATTTTGTGGTTACGTTGCACCTCAGTTTATTTATGCAGTATTTGTTATAAATAATATATTTGTAGTTATACTTTAAATATCACACATGTCACATAATATAATCAAACCTATTTTTATTTCATGATTGACATTTTATTTTGATTGTAAGTCCTATTTTTTTGAATAAAGATATGGACCTTTTTTTTTACATTTTAATGTTTTTGCAACGCCACGAAAACCGTCTAGAAGAATTTACTGCATACGTCTTGAACCAAACATGAACACTATGTTCAGTTCAAGGAATTTGGAAGAAATAGAAAATAAAATGATTTTCTCTTATTTTTCTCACCAAAATGGAAAGAATTTGGTTTTTCCTCCACTTACTATATTTTGTCTTCTCATTTTCTTTTCTTTTCACGTTTCCTTTCTTTTCCCCTCAAACCAAACAAGAAAAACTGTTTTCCACTTCATTTTCAGTTCATTTCCTCCTTTCAAATTCCTTGAACCAAACATAATGGTAAAGTTACTGAGGACCTGTTTGGTGAGTTTTGGAGATATGATAAGATATGAATTTTGAAATTGTAGAGAAATGATATGGGATTTGAAATCGGGTAGAAAAACATTTGGAGAAAAGAGAAATAAATCAAAATCAATTAAGTCAAAATTGAAAATTAAAAGCTATCTGTATCATTTATCCACCACTACCCCTCCGTCCCCTCGTATTCTCCCCCTGCCGCACAAGAAAATGTCATAGCCAGTGGTGATGGAGACAAAGTGGCCGCCTCATCCACCTTCATCGCCATTCGCCACTAAACACAGAAATTCGCCTCCATCGTGGCCGCCGGCCACTGTGGAGATAGAACCACCGCCGCCTCATCCACCTTCATCGCCGCTAGAGATAGAATGTCACCTCCATCGTGGCCGCCGGCCACCGTGGAGATAGAACCGCCGTCGCCTCTTATTTCGTTGCGATGGAAACAGAATCGCCGCCACCGCCTATCTCACCACCGACGGAGACAGAAACCTGCGCGCCTCTTTCTTTGCCGCCGGTGAAGACAAAGCCGCTGCCTCCTCCTCCTCCTTCATTGCCGGAGACAGAACTGCCACCGCCTTGAATGGAGATTGGAGATCTCCGCAAACCCATGTACCAGTTGCTCCAAAATATTGACTTGGAAGAGGAATCTATATTAAATCTTCTGTTTTAAAATTGAAATCGGCAATTATATGGATATATCAAAAAACAGCTTACACGCAGAATTCTAATATCTTTGGATATGGAAGCTGAAATCCTTTGGTTACTCACCAAACATTAATTTTAGAAACTCCATATCGGAGATATGGAAACCCATATCTGATTTCTTCACCAAACATACCCTGAGAGACCCTGAGAGAGAATAGTTTTCATTCTACTTACACAGAGAATTCCCCATCCAGTGGGTATGAAAGCCAATATGCAGGCAAATACATCCGCAATAGATAGGTCAGTAAGTGCAACAGCAGTGGCTAAACCAGCTAGTGCAAGCAAAAAGGAAAGGCCTTGGACAAAGCGCAGCAACAACTGGAAATTAACTGATATTTTC